GCACTTAACAACAACAACATATGTATATTGTAAGAGAAAAATAGTAGAAATTAGAAATGAAGAATCATATGTATTGTTTCTTGGGAATTAAAAAAAAAATTAAATTGATTTTGACATATGTGGAAAATACTGCTTTCCAGATCAGATGCCCTGTTTTATATTAATTTAATTTTCTAGAGTGTTGTTAAAATGAATGCCTTTTTTGTTAATAAGGTATGCCTTCAGGTAAAGTGTCTTCAGTTAGCAGCTCTTTGGGAAACAAACTTCAAACCTTATCTCCCTCCCATAAAGGGATTACAGCCCCTCAAGTAGGGTAAGTCTGCATTTAACTTAATTGATAATTTATTAGTGACATATATAAAGGATATTGTGGTTTCATTTTGCTTGGGTAATTGACTTTTTCCTTAAGCTTAGTTTTATTTCTAATTTCATTTATCTTTTAACAGTCAAGGTCACACTCAACTCTTGTTGTAGCTCTAAATTAGTATAATAACCATATTGAACAAATAATCTTACTACATTTTCCAAGAGCCTTAAAAACATTCATGCTTTTGATGGAACAATTTTGCTTTTTGTAATCTAGTCTAATGGAAACATTTGAAGTATGAGACATTTTTATAACTGTAATTTATTTAGAAATATGTATCAGGCACTGTACTACATATTTACAATATGTTTTTATTAAAACTATCCTGGTGTGGCGGTGATGTACCATAAAGTCAGTTCCAACTCATAGCCACTCTACATAGGGTTTCTGAGGCTGTCAATCTTTCCAGGAGCAGAAGGCCTCATCTCTCTTCCCTGGAGTAAGTGGCTGGTAGATTCAAGCTGCTGTCCTTGTGGTTAGCAGCCCAGTGTGTGTAACCCACTACTCTACCACCATAAAATGAGGAGATCAGAAAAGCAAAGTCATTTGTCCAGTGCCACACAGCTAGTAAGAGTTTGAACTAGTATGTAATTTGGAATCTATTTGGCTCTAATCATTTTAAATGTTTTAATTATCATATAATGTATTATAGTGTATCACTGTTATGAAAACTACAAAGGGATATTGTTGTTGTTGTTGTTAAGTGCCATAGAGTCAGTTCCAACCCATAGCGACCCTGTATAGGGTTTCTGAGGTGCAGCTGGTGAGCTTGAACTGCCGACTTTGCAGTTCAAATGGCTTTGCAGTCTGGTGCATTAACCTTCAACATCATGCCGGGATATATTAATTTTAATAATATACTTGTACGATGATCAGAAAGAAATGTAAAGTACAAAACTGCATGTATAATATGATGTTAAGTGTTGTCAAATTAATTCTGACTCACAGTGACCATGTATAGGATTTCCGAGGCTGTAAATATCTGTCAAAGTAGAAAGCCTCATCTTTTTCCCTCAGAGCAGCTGGCAGGCATAAATCACCAACCTTGTGGTTAGTAGTCCAGTGTTTATTCTACAGAGCCAAACAGTGCTCCCCATGGCATGGTAAAAATTATAAAAATATGTGTAGGGGAAAAAAAAAAAAAGAAAACTTGCCAGAATTTTAACACTGGAATTTGGAGTGGTTTTTTTTTTTTTTCCTTCAATGTAATTGTTTTTTATACTTTTTATTTTCTTAAGTGTTACATACATGGTTTTTGATAAAAATAGCAAAATTAAAGGGAGCTCTGGTAGCGTAGCGGTTACGAATCGGGCTGCGAACCTTAAGGTCAGCAGTTCGAAACTACCAGCTGCTCTGTGGGAGAAAGATGAGGCTTTCTGTTCCCGTAAAGATGTACAGCCTAATAAGCCCTGTACAGGGTCACTATGGGTCGGAACCAACTCGACGGCACTTAACAACAACAACAGCAAAATTAAACTTTAACCAGTAAGTTTAATGTGAGAAAAAGTCGCTGATAATACTTGAGATTTTCATAGAAGTCTACTATTCCAATAGAAACTTACTTTCTCTTCATTTTGGTATATCAGAAAACTAAAGGATAGTCATATATAGTTAGCGTAGTGGTTACGAATCGGGCTGCGAACCTTAGGGTCAGTGGTTCGAAACTACCAGCCGCTCCGTGGGAGAAAGATGAGGCTTTCTACTCCCGTAAAGATTTACACCCACGGAAACCCTGTACAGGGTCGCTATGGGTCGGACCCGACTCGATGGCATTTAACAACAACAACAACATATTCTTACAGATTTATTGATGTTGATACAGAAAATATATAGCAAACATTTTCAAGTACAGGTGATCATCTGTGGCTTGTAGTCAACTTTGGTTCTTATATAGGAACTATCAGCAAGGATGGAGTCCTGTAGGATAAGTTCTGATTGCTAACCGTAAGGTCGATAGTTCAAACCTTGCAGCTGTTCTTGGGTACCCAATACAAGGTTGCTATGAATCAGAACTGACTCCACAACACTTAGCAACAACATCAGCAAGGGCATCTGTGAAGTAGGAGGCGTTGCATTTTTGTTTCCCAAGTTGAACTGCACAGAAAGTGCAGAACCTACGAGAAATTTAATATAATTGTCATTGTAGAAAAAAAAAAAAAAAAACCTCAGTTAACAAGATCTACTGAGTAAAGTATGTTTTGTTTTGTTTTGTTTTTCTTATTACTGTGTTTTCAAGAAGTGACAGATAGGTTATCTGTCAGAAAGAAATTTGATATCAGTAGAATGGGTAGTTGAAGATTTCTCAGCTTCCAGTGGTAAATGCCTAATTTGATGGGGTTTTTTTTTTTTTTCCCCCTTCTTTACTGAGCTTCCTGATTCACAGTTTAAGTATAGGGATGGCAGTAAGTTTTCATTTTATGAACTGTTTTACATCACAGAGAATGTCTTCTGCTTTAGATTATAGTGTTTGTTTGTAGTTTTATTGATAGTAGGTTATGAATTAAAAGGCCACTTTTAGTTCTCTTCTCCTGCTAAACTGATACTTTTCTCAGCTCACAACATAAGGTGTACTGACACACTGTATTTTCAGACAGGGCACGTAAACCTGTCTGAGATCATGAAAAGGGCCATGCCTTGGAGTTAGAAAAGTGGGTTTCTAGACCCAGCTTTGCCACTGAAACATAACTTTGGAGTCACTTCTCTTTCTTATTCTCACAGCATTCTATGACTTTGCTTTAGACCTTTACAACTGTGAAAATCTGACCCCCATTTATATCTGTAATAGCATGGGTTTGACAAACACAATAATTTTGTATTGTTATGCTCTGCCTGTAATGTCATAAAAATTTAAAACTTCTAGTTTTCCCACATCATTTTAAAAAGCGTCAAGTATGTCTGTTAAACTCCAATTGTCCATTTTATGTATAATCTTTATGTGTTAAGGGAGGGTTTCCATCTTTAGGAAAGAGAATGAATGGTAGTGTATACTTCTGCTCAATGTATTTACTCTTTGTTTAGTGTCTGTTTTTATTGCTTCTGTAGTTTTATTGATGTAGTAATTAGTTTGCTTTCATGGTAACAGAGATTATACCTACCTTGTTTACAGATGTAACTACAAAATCTAGTGTCATTTTGGCACATTGACAGTTGATAATTGGATGAGTGAAGGTGGAATTAAGACATGTGGTTAAAGAAATTGAGCATCTGCTAAAATTAGTAAATTGAAGTCATTTCTATTAGTAGAATTATTTAAAGCCTGATGTGAAAAATATTTTGTGTGTGTGTATGTGTGGTCTACTTACATCAGGTATACTGGTTATCGGTAATATTTAGCATATATTTGTTATGTCTCGTAAAGATTTATCTTTACCTTTGGAAAGAGTTCTGTCTGTTTGATAATTAACTTCTAGACAACCTCAGGTTTATTGTTAATATATATATATATTTTATTTTATAGCTCAATTTTTCACCAAACAGGTCCATAAAGGGAACAATAACATTAGTGAGGTACACACACCTTAGAATAATCAACCATTTTAAGACCAAAGGGGCAGAATTTACCCAAGGACAAAACTCAGAAGGGTTAGATCAGGAGAAGGACTGGGATCAGGAAACCCAAAGAGGAAGTGGGATACGTGATGGCCCGCTGAGGGGATTGCAATCACTAAATGGAAACAAGTGTGTATGAATTGTTGAGTGTAAAACTGTTGATCTGTGTAAACCCTCACCTAATTCAAAATAAAAAAGTAAAAAAACAAACAAACAAAAATGAACAATTTCCCTTTATTCTAAAAGATCTTTAATCCTAGGAGATTTTAAGCCTGTGGTGAAACACAGAGCTTTTAAATAAATATTGCCACATTGGAGATGTGTCATGAGGTTTACAGTTATGGCTTAGGAATTGTGTTTTTGTAAAGGTTAATTGCCAGTTGAAATGGGTATTTCAGCTGAATTTTTTACTTGTTAAAATATAAAATTTCAAAGATTTATTGCTGTCCAGTTATTGTGAAAAACAGAAGTTTACATTGGAAGTATACAATAACAAGTGTTGAAATTACAGCAATAGAATGCATGTGCGGAGCGCTTTACAATTAAAATTGAATTTTGTTTCTCATAATCTTAAGGAGTTCTGGTGGCACTCTCGATTAGGCATTGGGCTGCTAATAGCAAGGTCATCAGTTCAAATCTACCAGCTGCTCCAAGATCTATAATATTGGGAACCCTATGTAGGGTCGCTATGAGTTGGAATTGACTTGATGGCAGAGGGTTTTGGTTTGTTTTATGGTACTTTTTATTAAATTTAAAACCCCCAAACGAAACCTGTTGCTATCAAGTCTCCATATTTAATAGAGTAGAGCAGTACTGCCCCATAATGTTTCCAAGGTTATAATCTTTACAGAATTAGACAGCTACATCATTCTCCATAGAGCCAGCTGATGGATTCGAACCACTAACCCTTCAGAGCACTTCACTGCTGCACCTCTAGAGCTCTTTATATTCAAAACAGTGGGAGGAATATGTGTCTCATGTTGAATTATGCCTTTGTATGAGTGGAATCAAGATTTTCTCAGATCTTGGAATCAACAAAATCTTCTCAGAAGTCAGCCTTTTGACATATGTGAATTGGGTACAAATGGAACCTTATTTGTATTTTTAATGAGCTTTTCTATCTTTTATTATAGAGCTGTTCTTGTCAGTTCTATCAAGTCAGTTCCAACTCATAGTGACACTGTATAGAGTTTCTAAGGAGTGGCTGGTAGGTTTGAGCTGCTGACCTTGGGACTAGCAATCCAGTGTTTATCCTACAGTACCACACCAAGACTGTTGATAAGTGCGGTTCTGACTCAAAGCGATCCTGTATAGGGTTTCCAAGGAGCGGCTGGTGAGTTTGAACCGCCAACCTTGTGGTTAGCAGCCAAACATGTTAACCTGTTTACACCTCCCCG